AATACAGTCCGGAGCAGGAGCGTGGGAAGAGGAAGAGATTTAGGATAGCCACTCCCCAGAATTTCCCAGGGTATATCCACTAGGTTAGAGTAATACAGATTTAATCTGTCAAGATTCTGTCTATATGGTGTAAGCAATAAAAGAACTGAACTTGGCTGGACTTTTTCTCTATCATTCTTGGGCCAGGCCTGACAGGTCGCCTTCATTTAAAAGTTATCCTGAGTGCCAATGGGATGTACCAGTTACATCCCGCTGGACTGGCATCGGGGAGATCCAAGTTCAAGTTTACCCTCAACCCTTTAGAAGCTTGTTGGGTGACTTGGGGACAGTTCTCTCTTAGCCCAGGCTGGTGGAGGAATGCTATGAATATCACCTTCAGCTTCTGTACAAAAGTGGGACATATTTCTAAGGAAAAGATACAGCATTGTAAGTTTCACCCATGATGCATGTGAAGGGCTACCCTGCTTGTCAGAGGTGGTTTATTATCAGGCTGTTTGCAAAAAGTCTTCTGCATCAAGAAGATACCCTAAGGGGAAGAAATGGCGGACTGAAGATGACTCCACAAAAAGCAGAGCTGACGACCGCAGTGGAATGAAGAGCCGGAGAGTAGACTGGCTCTTCGTAATTCCTCTCCAGACAAGGAGAAGACTTGAGATTGCCCACAAGGGCTCCAGACAGTTGCTCCTCGTGAGGAGACTGCAAAACAGCAGTCTCCAGCTGCTTTAGAGCTCCAGGAGATGAGGAAACAGCCATCTTGCTCAAACCATGGTTGGCACCTTTGAAAGGACACTAAGTTCACATACTTCCTTTTCTAATCACTTTCGGAAACTGCTTGTTCACAGATTTTCGGCTATTAGGAACCTTTGGATCGACAAGTTTCACAGCACCAAGTGAGTTTCCTTCAATCCTTGGCAGAAGAATTCTTAACTACAAGTTTAAGAACTTAATTTTTTTTTTCTGGAATAAACAGCAAAAGGGTGATTAAAACTTTAATTTTAGAAAGTTACAAATGGAGTAAGGGTCCAGATAAATCTGAAATAAGATTTTGGAATTAATTATAAAGAATACTTCCGTGGGAAAATGCTTTTGTTTTGAATTTAAAAAAAACATAGTAAGGTAAGACTTTAAGAAGTGGACACTAGAGGGAACTAAAGATTATAATTAAAGGAGAAGAACACTCAGACTTGATTTACAATGACAGAATGAAGCAAACTATTTTAATATTGGACATATTGAAGGATATTTTTGAACAATGGACCCAGAAGTTGATTTTAACAGTGTCTGCCTCTATAAGATAGACTGTGTCTACAATATGTTATGGGAGAGGAATAAGCTCTACCTGACAAGATCAAGACTGATTTGAAAGTAGATTTAAAAATGAATGACATGGAAAAAGATGCTATACTGGACATACAGAAGAAACCAGCTGATGTCTTAATAATAAAAGGGATATACAAACAACAAACCAAGAGAGTGACCTGGATAATTTTCCTATATTGGATTTACAAAAGAGGCTTGTTAAAGCTTTGAAGAATTTTGTGAGAAGGGACAAAGAAAAAATGAAAAGAAATCAAGTTCTAGGTCATTATATATTTTATGTTTTTAAAGTTTGTTGTGAATCGCCCAGAGTTGCCCCATTGGGGGGAGATGGGTGGCCGAAAAATTTAATAAATAAATAAATAAATAAAAATAAATTATTTGATGGGACTAAAGATCAAAATGGTTAAAAGGAAAAGGAAGGAATATAAAGTTGGTTTATTTGATCAAGGTTAAAATAGATATGTTGTTATCTCTGGTAACCCTTAATGGACTTTTGCTGACATCAGGACTGAAGTGACAAGGCTTTTAGGATTTGTTTATAGATAAGAGATGGGATATGTTTAGGATTTGTTTATAGATAAGAGATGGGATATGTTTAGGATTTGTTTATAGATAAGAGATGGGATATGTTTAGGATTTGTTTATAGATAAGAGATGGGATATGTTTAGGATTTGTTTATAGATAAGAGATGGGATATGGGAAGAAGAGATCATTTGTTGTATTTTAAGAGGAGATGAAAAGTTACTAAAATTGTTTATATTTGCTGTGATGAAGGAGAAAATCATTTCTTTATATATTTCTTTTCTTTTTCTTTACTATATTCTTTTTTCCCCTTTCTTTTCTCTTTCTCCTTTTTCTCTTTTTTTTCTCTTTCTTTTCTGCACCTTTTACTTTTTTTCTTCTTTAGTTTGTATTAGTTTGTATTGTTGTAGTTGTAATCTTTAATAAAATTACTATAGAGAAGATACCATAAGGCAAATTTTCCCCAAACCTCCAGATTTCTGGGGGGTGGGTGGGCTGGAGGGGACATTCTGAAAGCTGCAGGAGTGTCTGCAGGACCAAACCCACCCAAGCATCGTACGTGAGATAAGTGATACGCACAGGCCGCTGTGCATTAAGCAAAGCAAAGAAAAATACGTCTAAGACTTCAAAACATGTTGGCAGTCCAGGAGGTGTTTCCAAAGGCTTTGGGAGGTGGGTGGATTTAATTTAGATCTGATTTTCCTGATTTTCAGCCTCACCTCCAAGTCTGCGTGGAGTCTTACCGCTGCACCCCTAGTTATCTGAAACTGACCAGAGCCTGCATCTCTCCACCAACAAAGTGCGACCCACTGAATGCCCGACGGGTTGTCTTTTCAGCTAGCAAACGTGCGATTGCAGGCAAAGCAAAGTAAATGCTTAATCGGGAATTTTCACAGCAGGCCCGTGATATCCTCTCATCTTCCCATCCAATGTCGTGAAACAAAGAAAACGCTCTTTTCAAAGCCAGGCAAATCCCAGCCCACCAAGGTCACCTGCCTCGGCTCAATGCTCCCGGTTTCTAGTTAGAAAATGCCGCTCACCGACTTGAAGCCCCTTTCCTAGAACTAATAAACCGTTGGAAATGTTAAAATAAGTCGGGTCCATAGATGAAACAGTCACAGCTGCACTACCTAATTCCACAGGACGCTGCCTACAGAGACATTTCCATCGAATGCCAGTAAGCAATTGCCATAAACCCCAGATGGCTGGTTTTTAACGCCGGATGGTTCGGCTCCCAATGTGGTTCTCCTCTTTATCGCTCAACAGTCACGACAAAACGCAGGCGCTTCGGCTCAAATGCCAAGCTCCCAAAGCCGGAGGGAAGCGGCGGAGAGCAACACGGGTTGGCTCGCTCACTCGCCCCTCGCAGGAAAACGCTTCCAATGTACGGATGACTCTCCACGCTGAGCTTTCCAATGGGCCGTGACTCGGGGCAGAGGGAACTGGCTGCGTGCTCAGATTGGGACGTGCAGGAGGAATTTGGAGACGGGGGACCCAACGGCTGCGCGTGGGGGCAGGAAGCTGAACGGAGCCGGAATGGGAGCCATTTCTGGGCATGGCAGCCACTATGCGTTGCTATTTGGGTCATGCGGTGTTTTGCACCAGGGAGAAGGGGAAAACAATGTGTATTTTCATGCTGTCAGCACAGGCAAGGCCTGCCCTTTCATTTCCACAAAAAATGGGTGGAGGCGTGGGGAACCCAAAATCTAGCAAACCGAACCAAAATTTATCATTTAGCAATGCCAGTAAGGAGGACCAGCTTCAGAATCCCAGATACACCATCCAGGGCAGTGTTTCTCCACCTTAGCAATTTTAAGACATGTGGACTTCAACTCCCAGAATACCCCAGCCAGCATGGCTGGCTAGGGAATTCTGGAAGTTCAAGTCCCACATCTTAAAGTTGCTAAGGTGGAGAAACACTGGTCCAGGGGGCCAACATGGAGTTGCCCCCATACATGTAATCCAAAAGGATGTTTTAATCTAATCTTTGCCTTGTCTGGAAGGCTCCAGGTAGAGGCGCCGCTGGGATCGACACAGCCTCGTGGCGATTATACACCAATTACGAACATCCCTGTCGACTTTAACAGAGAACCAGCCGGCAATCCGCCCAACCCTGCAGCTTCATAGCCGCATGTCATCCCAACGGCTTTTTGGGTTGCCGGATTCCTCCTGTAGCAGCTTTAATTTCATTTTCCAGCGATACTGAGGCCGGAGCAGAAGAGGGAAAGGCTGCCATAAAACAAACCTCCCCGGGGACCCATCAGGGAACACACCGTTGTTGAGAAGGAAGCGGCGTTGAGAGATAAGCGTTTAAGTCCTTAGAGGGGCCTTTCATTTCTATTCCGCTGGGCGGAAGCAAGAGGAAGGGGGTCGCCTACTCACGAAGGATGTGGTGAAGGCTGTGACGGAAAGGCTCTCTGCACCAGCCCAACAGACCTGGTGCTCAGCCACACAGCCATTTCTAGCCGCCCTCCCTGATTCAGTGAAGCCCAATCTTGCCATGAGGTCCACATTGGCATGCCACGAACCAACAATGCTTCTTTTTTGGGGGGGGGCACTCAATTTTCAGAATTAAGTCTCCGAAGGGATCTTGGAGATGATCTAGCCCAACCCCTGCCCAGGGCAGGAATGGACTGCTACAGTTTCCCCGACAGATGGTCCTTCAGCCTCTGTCTGAGCACCTCCAGAGGAGTCCGCCATCTTCCGACGCACCTCTTCCATTCTCACGGTTAGGAAATTCTTCCTGATGTGCAAGCAACATCAACTCCCTTGTAATATAAACGCCTCATTCCTTGACTTTGTCTTCTGGAACAGCTCTGGACAATTCTGCCCCCTCTTCTCCACAACAGCTAGTGTGTCCCCCACAGCTGTCTTTCCAGCAAGCTAAGCACACCCAAAGCTTCCAACCATTCCTCACCAATTTCAACCTGGTGGCTCTTCTCTGCATACCGATTTCTCAACATCCTTCCTAAAACACGGTGGCCCAAACCACAGAGTCAGTTCCCTGCCATTACAAAACCACTTCTAGTTGCCTCTCTACCTCCTTATCCCTTTTTGTTTTTTGTTTAATTTAACCCACCCCACTCCCAAAGGCCGGGGAAGGGATCCTGAGGTCAGGAAACGGGTTCTGCCACGTCCAAAAAATTCAAAGCCTTACTTTGGGGTTCGTTCGCTGCTGAAGCCTCCTCTCTTCTCTCTCGCGCTGCAACCGTTCAAATTCCTCCCGGATTTCGGCCGGGGTCCTCCTCCTCTCCACCACCTAAAGGAACAGAAGTTCAGCATTAGAGGTCATTTGGCAGAAAACATTAGCTGCGAACCAAGGTAGAAACGCTAAATCGGTTTTCATTCCCTGCATCTAAGCAGCTTCAGAAGACTGCTGCTCCCCCTCTCTATCTCTTGCTCCTCAATCAAGCTGTAGAGATATTATTATCCTTAGTTTAACATCACAATTTAGGCTCCTGATCCTCACTCTGGCCTTTTTGCAGAGAGGAAGCACACATACAACAGGATGATAAATACACACAACAAAACCAGCCTTACCAGGAAGCTGATGGGAAGCCAAAATATGGCTCAGGTTAATTTGTGTAATTCCTTTTCTTAAATAAAAAAAATCGGGGTAGTCTATGAATTCCAAGCAAAGTTGGAATGATTTCCTCCATCTCCCAGAACATTACGAGAAGAAAAACTCACTTCACTTTGGGGAAAGCCGCAGCTTAAATGGAGCCTGGCGGGTTGGGCAAATGCAGCCACGGTGGTTTGTAAACCAGGATTGAGGGCTTAGCATTTGGTTTTAGTTGCAGAGGTCATGGTTAAGCAAGCCAGGGTTTAGCACAGTGCACAAACCAGACAGCATGCAGATCTGCTGCCCAGCAATTCTCATCCAGTAAGCACAGCCACAGACTGGGAAGAACTCCAGTCTTAGAGATCTCACATGGGATCAATGGGGAGATCGACAGGGAATTTTGGGCCCAACACCACAACATTCTGTATTAATGGCTTGGCTGAAAAGGTTGGGAACGTGGGTATCCAACGCACACACGCAATACCAAACTGGGTAGAAGGCAGAACTAACATTCAAAACGATCTTGGAAAGTCAGGAAAGGGACTGAAAATAGCATCTACGTCAAGTCCCTCATGTTAGAATTTAAAAATACGAAGCGCTTAGGGGAGGAGGGATGAGGGAAGCAAGCAGATGTGGGAAGCATCCTGGAATCGGAGCTGGTCCCAGGCTGAACCTGATTCAGCGGCATGACAGGCTGCCCCAAACAGAAACCGAATCTGAGGCTGCATCCAAAGACTCTTAAGAATGGGAAGGGACTCTTGAGGCCCCGCAGTCCAACCCCCAGCCCAGTGCAGGAATGCAAACTTAAGCTCATGGACAGTTGCTTCTTCTTTGTGAAGATACCCACCCCTCTGGGTCGCTATTCCCACCTGAATTCAGTTAACCCCCAGTTTCTCATGCTTCCCAAATATTCTGATATAATTCTTGGCTCAACTGAAAAAGTCAGACTGTGTCCCCTAAGTGCATATTTCGAGAGGAAGCACACGTAGGAAAGACAAATGCCTGGGTTTTTCATTAGTTGGAGAAATATGCAGAAATGGGAAAGCGCCGATTGGAGTCCATGCACATGAAAACGTTCAATAGTCCGATTTAAAATACGGGATCCTCCCAACAGAATCCTAGTGTTTGAAGGGTTCCCCGAGGCCACCTACGCCACCCCCTTGCTCAGTGCAGGAATCCCAATCCTGGACTGATGACTGTCCGGCCTCCCCTTGAACACCTCCCCTGAAGGGGATCCCCCCCGCTTTCTGGATCCCTGGCATCAAGAAAAGCACGCCCTTCCCAAATCCCATGAAGTGAACCAAAATTGGACTGGTTCCGAAAAGACACTTCAGCACAGATTGGGAGGCAAAATCCGGTGCCCGCCCCAGGGCCAAACTCTTCAATGCTTTGCACAACACAACGGGATTAAACTGGCAGGGGGTCAGAAGAGGTGAGACTGGTTGCGGAGAACCTCGGCGAGTGTCAGAGTTCACGACTCGAAATGACTAGCTCCGAGTTCCCTCGGGGCAAGCGGAAACGAAAACCGAAAAGCGCTCCCATCAGATCGGAAAGCGAGCTCGGCAGTCCAGGCACATCCATGGGGGCTCCCCGCAAGGTTAAAACATCTGCCCTCGGGCATCAATCCTTCACCTGCAAGATGGTGCTTTTCCTGGAAATTTCTGAGTCCTCAGGTTATAGGTGTTTCTTTTCCAGTTCATCAGAGGTACGTTTGCCTCTCATTCACCGTGTGAAGAAAGTGGCAGTTAGCAAAAATGTTCCAACCTGTGTCTTTTTTTAATGATTTTAGTGGCGCTTCGTGGTGTACCTGCCGAAGCAAATGATGCCACCTAGGAGGATCTGCTGGCTCTGGAAAAGCTAAACGAGGTCACGCCAAATTAATGCATGGATGGGAGACCACCAGGAGATCCTGGGGCCGTATTGTCGACTGGGAGGTGGGGGGAAATCCTAGAAAAGGGCAGCGTCAAAACTAGTTCCATGCCAATTAGAGGCAATCAATTTGGACGTGTCCTTGAAGTGCCCACAAGCTGAGCTAGACAAGCCTTATTGCATTTATTTGTATTACTGCCACTAACTATGCCCCTCTTTGGCACCCCGTTTCGAAGTAGAGAAATCATGTTGTAATAATAATAACATCAGCATGGTTGACAATCTAAAGCAGTGTTTCTCAACCTTAGCAACTTTAAGATATGTGGAATTCTGGGCGTTGAAGTCCACATATCTTAAAGTTGTCAAGGTTGAGAAAAATAAAGAATGAGACAATGATTTCTTTTTCCCTTGCAAAACACATTTCCTAAGGTAAATCCCTTAATTCATAAATAATTATCAATAACTGACGATTATGCAACTGATCTCAAACACTAGAACGGAGGTAGAGATGTTATCCCTGTGAATCTCAGTATTAGAGATCAAGCATTCGCCTCCTCCAATGCGCAGAATTTTAAAATAACATTAAAAAAAAAATTATTCCCTCCTGCACCCCAGATACTGGATCACCCCAAAGAGCTATTAGTTTTGGGGAGGCACAGCTTTTATACATCTCCTTAGGAGGAGGCCATCAGGTTCAGTGAGATGGTCAAAATAAGTAGGATTGCAAGCCAAAATACCATTCTAATTTGGGTATTTTCTGCTTTCACTTATTCGGAACAGAGTTTCCAGCCAAAACAAGTTAAGTCCAAAAGATTCGTGCGTTCACTTTAACCCACCCTCTTTTTAACAGGGGGTTTGCTTAACGAAGGGAAAGACGGCAAAACAGGCACATTTTAAGTTGCGCAAACGGAAAGATGGAAAGTTAGTGGGTGATACTTGCTGAAAGGAGGAGAGTTATGTTAGTGACAAAAAATCAGGAGTTTTGGTAGCACCTTTTCCGACTAACACATTTGGTTAAAAGCCCTGCTAACTGAGCATCTGATGAGATGGACCACAGCTCACAAATTCTTATGCCGTTGAGTAAATTCATGCGCTGGAGAAGGTGCTGTGCCTGGCTCCTTCGGGTTTTTTATTCACATTTGTCAGAAGAAGGGAAAGTGATTTGGAGAAGGTTACGCTTGTCTCTCCTTCGTGGAAGTGAGAGCGCCAAGAGAAACATCAACGGGAGGCAAATGCAGCGGAAGGGGGCCCTTAAATTGTGGGTGCATAAAAGCAAAAAAAGTCCAGGTCCAGAACAAATGGGTGGTAAAGGAACAGGGTCTGAATGGCAACGGGAATCGCCTGGAGGGAAAAAAAAGTAGTCGAGAATGACGACTGAAGTGCAGGATGAGTAGATGAAGGAAAGGTGACCAAGCGGAGAGGAAATACCTCAAGCATGGGGATGGCTAGCCCCATAGAGGCCTCCTGTCTTCAGCCTCAGATTTTTCATTTTCTTGGACTCTCCTTCCCCTTTTGTAGAAATGCTTTTAAACTGATGTTTTATGTATTTATATATATTTATGTTTTTAATGTTCAATGTGAGTCGTCCAGAGTTCCCCCATTGGGGGAGATGGGCAGGCGAGAAATCAATCTATCAATCAATCAATCAATCAATCAATCAATCAATCAATCAATGGGGTGAGGCTGACGAGGTCCTCAAAATGAGAAAGGAGAAGTTTCAAGAAGCTGTAGAAGGAAGGAAGGTTGGTAAAAATAGAAAGATTTGGAGCTGAATAGTATGTTGGGGTGCGTCCTTTTCTTATCACGTGTTTTCAGTTTACTTTCCCCCCCTCCTTTTCTGTGCTTTGCATGAAACTGGGAATAGCACAATGGGTATTTGATGTGAAATTGAAATGATGTTTATCCGGTCAAAGACCAGCAAAATGTGAAAATATACGACCCAAAAGTAAAATCAAATAGATGAGATAAAATACTAGCATAACAAAGATAAAATAACAAATAAAAATGTAACATACACTACTACATACTATGTATATATGTAATTAAGCCTTTAAAAAAAAAATTACTGCATTTCTAATGAAATTGACTATACCTAATGGTTTAAAATGCTGTTAAATTATATTTTATGGCCATTCAATCTGATCTAAATAAAAATGCCTCCTTCCAGCTGTTTGCTAACATGAATTTCTTGAAAAATTACATATACTCTTTTCTGTAACTATTACCAACACCGATTGTTTTCCTTTCAATCTCATTACTAAGCTTACAAACGGCATGATTTTAATTTCCATTTTAGACTTAAAAGAACATAAACTAGACAGAAGATTGCATAGATCTAGTTTTTTTTAAGTGTCACAATTGTTTTCGGAGCAGTGCCCTGTAGCTCTGCGAACATCTTGACACTCTCATGCTAACGTACGCATCAGAATCTTCTGCTCTTTAAATCATCCTCTGTCTCGCTACTTAATGAACATTTCCTACAGCTATGCATTTTTTTTTTAAATGGCCTTCTTCTGTTTATTTTTCATAAATTCACAGGCATCATTAGATCTCTGGGGGCAATCTTTGAAATTACAGAAGTCTTGCTGGATTTTCTCTTTTTGTTTTAGGAGTTGGTATTCGCCACTTGGCGTGACACAGGGGCTAAAACTAATTATTCAAACTCCTGACGTTCCACCCATCAAATCCATGACTGTCAGTCTGGACTGGAACAAAGTCCAAGCGAAGATGCTTGGACACTACGCAGGGATGCCGAATGCCCTTCAGAATCGAAGCAGAGTTCAAGCTCTCTTTTTTAAGTAAGTGCCAGAGGGTTAGCAAATTTTCCT